AGAGTGGATTTCGTTGAATGATAATTCTCGAAACAGATAGCGGCAGACTCCTGAGGCCAGAGCTGGTCCAGCTTTTCCAGGTGGACGTGAAGAACCGCAGGAGACGAGCAAGAGATCACATGACGGTACAGCTCGCCTCCTTAGATAGATCCTGAAAAATAAACGGCAGCATTATCTCATTTAATCCTCATGGGACAAGCGCTGTCTGGTTAGCATTGAGCATGCAGTTGGGGGAAGGTATGGCAGATGAGTCTGGAGCAGGGTGTCAGGTGATTGCAACAAGTCACTTTTCAGTGTACTGCCACTAGCTAGTTAGCAGCCCTATTAGCTGAATGTGAGCTAGAATTACGAGGGGAGCTTTGGACTGCCGGAAGGAGGAGGTTTTCCAGGCAGGGACAGGGCACCCAGCAATGCTTCCGGGGGAATGGGGCTGGAACGAGCCCCAGTGGGCAAGGGGGCTAAGCAGCCTCCCAGTGACCACGGCTACCTCAGACAGAACAGACAGAGGCCAGGCAATTTACAGCGGCTCCGACCAGGTCTCTGGGTCCGAGGACAACGAAGACACAGTGGGTTTAATGTATCACAAAACATGTATTAGGCAAGCCATGCATCTTGTAACTAGTGCTCAGAGCTGTTAACACCAGGTACAAGCAGACGGGAAAAGCTGCATCCCCTTCCTCACCTACTGTACAGCATGTCATCTGCACTCAAGAGACAGAACAACACTTCTTCTTCTTCCTCTTTGGCTTCAGTACGGGCAGGGAAAAAAAGGACGTCAGGTTTGAAATACTAAAGCATTTGTGCTTTTATCTGTAAAACGCTTTACACTTCATACGGACGTTATGGAACCATTGAGTTTACCTGCTGTCTCCGGAAGTGCTGGATGTTGCTGCCTGCGACAAAGTCTTCATCAAACTCCAGTTCAGTTTCCTCATCACCTCTGCTCTGCATACACACCCTGCGCTCGGCTACCTCCTGGAAAGTAATCACATTACTCCTATGATGAGTTACATCCATCGACATTGTAAGATAGCCGAGACAAAAAGATTAGGTACCCTAAACAAACACCACTTTATCCATAAATCATTGACCAGTCATTTAAAGGTTAATGCCACTACTTCTTGGTGGTTTTATTTAAAAAAAAAAAAAAAGGAAATTAAATCAAAAAGTCTTTAAAATATACAGATTTAGACTGCGGTGATTGTGTACAGCAGCTTTCTGGGAGTTTGCTTCACTTACTTCATGGCTGGAGTTCAAAAGGATCACCCTTACATCAGTGACTGGGCCCCAGCTTCTGTGGCCCTGCAGAATCAGGTCCGCAGAATCAGCTTCTGCCTCCGAACCTGCTGCCCAAATCTGACACAAACACGTTAAGGCCATTAAAATAGTCACCAAATCTTGTTTTCCCACCTAATGATCTTCTCATGAAAGTGATATGCAGGGGAAGTGAGATAAATATATTTAAACATAATAACATTAACTACTCACTGTGAGTGTCTGCCCACCAGCCAGGATGCAGGAGGAGGGGATGTGGAAGGAGATGTCTCCAGAGTCTGGGTACATCCTCTGAACCACCCAACCACCCAGTGGCTGATCCTGGAAATGCAGCAATGAGAACAAGGAGGAGTTAAAATGTTGCATGTAATGCAAATCCAGATATGCATCTGATTCAGTGCCAATTCACTGACAGTTTTAGTCCATTTAAAAACATTATAAAGTGGTGCGATTGATCGATAGATAGGAGGCAGCCACTGCCATCTTTTGCCACTGAGCCAGTCTGACAGAGTCTTGACAAAATACTTCACCATTAGCTAAAAAGCAAATTATGATTTTGTAGAAGACAAATTATTGTGATTTCAATGTCATCGATTTTTCCCCTCCAGAATGGTCAACAATCAGGAAAGTCAGGGATATCCTGACTTAGTCTCTAGTATGGCTTAAGCTCCTGACATAACCCTGATGACATTATGACATCCTCAAGGCTATTTTCTTTCCGAAGCCCCTGTTTGCCCACAACTGTGCCACAATGAAGTGAAACTGGGACATTCAAACTCATTCTTAATACTAAAAAATACAAATGAAGACAAGCCCCCCAAATAAACAGCCTTACCATCTCAGAGTTGTTCTTCAGTCGAACATATTTCCCATCCATGTCAACCTCTGCCACGCTCACAGCACCGTGCTCTGTCGAACGGCTTGACATTTTATAGGCGGGCGAGCTGCCAGAGGTGCCCTCATGTTTCCGTTTCCTCCCTCTGAGCTTGCGGCTGCTGTGTTCATGTGTTCGAGGTATGGCCGTACGCTGGGATGGGCTCGGTGACAGCTGCAGTCTGAGAGGAAAATAACATTTAGATAAACAATCAAACAAACTGGAAGTACAAAGCACCAGACAGTCAGAGATCCATGTACATCCTTTGTTTTGATTTATAAAAGCAGACCGTAAAATGAATGAAGCTGTGCTCAGCTGTAGTTGAGGCATACAGATCACAGCCATACCTCTGTTCCTCCACCTCCAGCATCTTCCTGTAGGCATTGATCTCCATGTCTAAAGCCAACTTGACGTCCAGCAGGTTCTCGTAGTCTTCCAGCTGGCTGTACATCTGGCTTCTCATGCTCAGCAACTCCTGCTCCTTCTGATACAGTTTCTGCTGCCAAACCTCCCGCTCCCTGTCAAGAGTTCTCTCCAGCTCCTGGAAGCGGCCCTCCAGCACCATTTTCTGACAGAGTAAGAATACAAATGCTGACCGCTGGTAAAAAATATATAAATTTTTTAATCAGACTGTAGTCTAAAATTACATTATGCATGCCTAAAGTTGTATAGCACAATATTTTTCATCAAATCGCTCTGAAAGTGATCCAACAATATTGGTCGCCGCTGGTGTGGATGGCCCTTAAATGTTATTAGTGTGGGGATTTAATTTATTTCGATGTGTTTCCATTCACATACCCTACAAAAGGCAAACACTGTCCTCGTCTTATCCATTATGTTCTGTTGCTGAATTGGAACCCAAATTGTTCCCATACAATTGATTTAAAGGATGCAGTAGGGCAGTGAATGTCAACTGGCGGCCCGCGGGCCACATCCGGCCCGCCAGAGATTTCCATCCGGCCCCCAGAATATTACTGAATTCAGAAATAGCCTAGTGAAGAGGAAAAATGTATGTTTCTATATTTATTTATTT